TAGCCCAAGGAGCATTTTAGTCTTTTGTTTTTCTTTGTCATTGAAGGCCTATTTATATGGCCCTTCTTCTTGTTAATAGTTTTTAGTTTGTATGAATGAAAAATATTGGCCACTTATGATCTCTTTGTGAGTTCACTCCTCCTCGATCTCTTAGTGAGTTCGTAGGAGAAAGCGTAGATCTCTTTTGTAGTTCTTAGATCTCCTTGTTCTACCATTTTCTTCCTTATTTCTTGTGATCGATTTGTCGTCGTGGAGATCCGGTTGAAAGCACTTGTGGGAAATTGGAATTTGCTCCTTGAATTCTATATTTCCCCTACCTCTTCCCCTCCCTTGCTCATTGCCGCCGCCCCCCCCCCCGGATTACCCAGCCCCGGCCTGCAGCTCCCATCCGCCGGCCAGCAAGCCACCGGCCAGCCCAACCCGCCTGCCAGTAGCCGCCGGCCAGCCCTCCAGCCTGCCAGCTCCCTTGCGCCGCCAGGCCACCTTGAGCCCTTGCCGCTGGCCTCCCTTTATCCCTCCTTGCAATTTGAATTTCCCTCCCTTAATGACCTTCCAATTGAGTCCCTTAAATTAGGGAATTAATTAAGAGGAGTTACAATTTTTTGAAATTCAAATTCCCTCTTATTTTAAATTGTGGAAAGTTACTTAAGCCACAATTAAATCTGAAATTAAAATTCAGATTTAATTGAATTTTCTTACTTAAACTTGGGCCCACTCTTATAACTCCTAAATCTCTCTCTCTCCTCCTTATTGGGCCGCCACTCTTAGTGGGCCTCTTTCTCCTTCCAAATGACATATGAACACCACGAATTCAGCCCAAAGCTTCTCCCCATTGCCGCCCCTCTCTCCCTCCTTGGATTAATTTGAAATTCAAATTAAATCCCTCTCCTAAACCACTAAAATCTGAACTTTATTTCAGATTTCCTGCATTTGCCTCTTAGCCCCCACCATAGCTTCAAGAAGAAAGGATAAGATGTTAGATGCTCACTGGTCATCCCATGGACTACCCGCCACCGACTATCGCTCCAACGGACTACGCTTTTGTGCGCCATTTGTCTCCTAGTGGCATGGCTCGGTTGATCTCAATCTTCCTCCATTAAAAGTGCCACCAACAAGAGAGTGAGTGAGAGACCCCAGGTGAGAGTTCTATTTGTTAATTGTGGATTATTGTTTCTCCCCATAGCATTACTCTTTAATTCTATGTTGTCAATTTGATATTGTCCCGTTAATCTAGTTTTGACCGCATGCCTTACTTAATCTTGAATTGATAATTCTGAAAACCTAACTTGGGTAAGCATTAATTCTATAACTAGCAAAGCTTTAACAATCTTATATTAAAATCCCCAAGCAGTTCTTGTTCATCGCAGGTTGTATCACATCAAATTTGATGTTGTTATTTTCTAATGTGTGTCATGATGTTTCTAGATGTTCATGTATGTCAAAAAAAAATTAATAGATTTAGCAAAAAATGTAAATATCACGGTCCGTTTAATTATATTTTACCCGTGCGTCAAGTTTCAGTTAATTTTGGTCAAGACAATACATGCATAAGTATGTTATAAGAACATATAAATTAAATTTGAAGATAAATCAATTGATTGTTGTTAGATTCCAATCAATAAAATCACTTAAGTTTCATGGAAGAAAGATAGATTTCAAAGTTCCGATTTCTCTGGTCATTTCTGCTTTACAGTAAAATATAACATTATTAGCGAGCAGTAATGTAAAAAAGTGGAGGTTGTGCATCTTCTCTTACAAGGACTTAAATTTTATTCCCAGTCGCTTCAAAATATCAAGAAATCAGTTGTGACGTATAGCATGCTACACTAACGTTTAAATCATGCTAATTGATCGCCAAAAATTTAGTGCTTCAAATGCTCAGCTAACAGAGATAATAATATAGAAATCTTGCTTTTCAACGCTACTTAATTTAGGTTAGGTAAACACCTTGATAGCACCCATATAAAGACAGCAAACACCTTGAGAAAGTACTTCTTAAATCGTTGACAATTTGGTAATATTTCATCCTTTTTTTAACTTTTTAGTTTTGATGGTTAGCATATGGTGAGAAATTTATCATAAATAGTGTTATCATGATTTCATTCCATTAGATTTAGCATGTTTTCTTCCATTGTCATTTTTGGCATATTATTGACAGTAATAAAAAACATTTTCACATACAAAAAATTAAAATAGAACCCCGAAACTATTTGAATAAGAGGCAATATTTTCTAATAACAGCATGTATCATTAAAGATCCAATCGAGATAAACAAAATACCTATAGTAGCCTTGGATGAAGTAAGAAGAGCTAGACTATATGTTCTGTTGCAAGCCCTTAATATTGACTCAATTGCAGATTTAACTTTTGGGATGTGATGAGCAATATCATGATCTGAGAATGCAATAAAATGTCAAACCATAAAAAAACATTATATATATAACACAGAGAGAGAGAAAAGAACTAAATTAGTTCTTTGACTCTTTATAAAGGATCAAAATGATTCTCAACTATATTAAAAAACTATTTTGGTCCCTCAAGTCTTTAAAAAGGAATCAAAATAATCTCATGGTAAGACTATTTTGATTCCTCTTTAAAAACTTGAGAGAACAAAAATGATCTTTTAATATAATCAGGGACTATTTTGATCTTTCATAAAAAGTCAGGGGAACATTTTGATCATTTTTTCTATATAAATACAAACCAATAATCAAAGTGGATTTCTAAGACTGATGTAATACCTTGGAAAACTTCCAATCCAGGACGTTTACTTGAGGAGGACTTCGCAATGTCAAGCAAAGCCCTCAAACCAATAACTTTTGCATCACTAGAACCATCTGGTCGCAATAACTCCAATATCATATGGTTCATTGAGAAATCAAGATTGCTTTCAGCTATAGTCACACAAAATTCGACAAGCTTATCATGCTGAGCATCCTGAGTTAACAAGCTTTTTCTTAAAACTGTCAGCAACTGTGAAGTTACACTATCTAGATAATCCCATACACGATTTTTTGGTTGGTAACTAGCATATACGCTTAGGTAAAACTTCACCACACGATGGAGACAGTCCAATGCCATTGAACGATGATTCTTATCCTACATAGAATATAAAGCTTCAGCAATACTGAAGGTAAATAAAAAACAATACACTATAACAAGATCTAGAACAGCTCAAAATAACTTCCATAAGACAACATAAAACAAAGGCATACAGTTTTTTAATAAAAAGAACTACCGGCTAGCTCTGGACTTCGAATAAGTTTCACAATATGAAGCCTTACTTTGAGATATTTGTACAAAAGCTCCATATGCGGCCCAAAATTACCATTGAATGTTTGTGGATCACCAAGGCAGAGAAGAAGAGTCACCAAGGGAAACCCAACCTGAGAAGTCAGAAGAAAGAGCACGTTAAAGTTCAAAATTATAAGGTTAGCATTTAAAGCTTGGCAAATTACATCAAAGGATCTGAGAAACAAGTAGCAATATTTTCAGTAAACTATTCAAAATGTCATAGAATTGACAACTACCACGTCATAAACAATCTACCAACCTAAGTATCAAAAACAATGCCAACTCTAGAGAAGTTACACCAAGGAACTTCAAGTAAATGACAACACTGGCCTCGTGTTTCTAGAGAGAAATTCTATAAAGATGATTAGTTCTTGAATGCATGATCCATTGAGATGAAATATGAATGTTCAATCAAATGGTGGACTACACGAAAGCGAAGTGTGGTAATAACAAAAAACAAGGTCGTATTAAAACAGCAGTCAAAAAGTAGGAAAAGGAATAAAAAAATTCTAAAGCTACCGTAATATGCTTGCTCTGTTTTTCCATCCAATGCATAAGTTGGCCTCTAATTCGAGTAACAGCTTCATACCACAACGTAAGAGCTGGATCCACCCCTGAAGGAGGCCACTCGTTCTTTCCTCCCTCTGTGAGAGGTGCTAATATGCTTGAAAGCATATTGCAGAGGGCATGATGGAGCTCACTTTTCCTTTTATGAGCAAGTCGATTGAGAGGATTTGCTTTTGCTACAAAGGATGCAGATGCATTCAAGCCACCCTCAGTTCTAACCTGCCAAAATAAAAAAGTTGCATCAGGCATAAAAAAATAATTTACTCCCAAAAGAATACCATGTAATCATAATAATCGACCCCTAGTGATGCATGCTATCATAACACAAAAAAGGCATTTTTTATGATTCAAATAAAGCAGCAAAGCTTCTCCAAAAGATGTCCCCACCACAAGAAACATCACACTGGAGGTAGGCATCTGCACACACCACAAAGAAATGGATTAAGATTTTCTTTATCAAGCAAGCAAATTTTGGCAATGCCAATAATATGAGGCATGTTTTTGACAGACAGCACCATAATAATTGGGATTACCAATTGTAATTCGATCAAATGAAAACTCAATTGTAATATGGTGTATGAAAGAACTCAACTGTTGGCAATCATCATGGCACCATCGTATCTCGACATATTGTTAGCACAACTTTTGTTAATATTAACAAGCTCTCTGCTACAAGAAGCTTACAGCTTATGAATTACATCATTATTAGGGTTGCATTGTACGTCATATTCAGAGGCATATTCTAACATATGAATGCTTCGGTCTAATTCCCTTGAGAACAAACCCACGAGTCAATAGCACAATGAGGCTGTCAAAAGGCATTATTGGTTCTATAATAGTGAGTTTGAGTTAATGATAAGGTCACAGGTTTACCATTTGTAGAATTCCATTATTATTTACTATAAAACAGTTTACCTATTAACTATAATCAAGGATGTGGGTTATATTACCCAATTCTTCATTACTTGTTTCTTGCTTTAGCATAGGCAATAAGGAAATTAGTATCCAAGATTCAACGAGCGATATTGTTCTCCTCTCTCCTATTTACATTATATGGATTCTGTAATTAGGGCAATGCAAATAAGTTTGCTTCATCTCAAAATTTTGCATGGAATAAGAGCATTAAGCTAAGATCCACCCTGCACTCAAGTCAAACACTAAATTTCAAAGATTGCTGCCACAAGCTCTTGTCTAAACTTCGAACCATACCTCTAACTCTCGATGCGACTTCGAAGATCACCAATTCTACCTCTCGTATTATTGTCCTCTGCTTGACCTCAATAAAGTTCGATAAAGTTCACTAATCCTTATCCCAACATAGCTCTCAAACCGTGTTCTTCTCCAATCATGTCCTTTGCTAGATCATAGAACTTAAGGTATTATGATGATCAAGTGCAACATAGCAGAAAGACAAATATCCTTCACCACCAATGTAACCAACCCTAAGTCCTATCACGGGCAATAATAATGCTTCAGACAGTAACATTTTCCCCATTAGAGAACAAAAAATGAATGGAAACAATTGCCTTCAATAGTCTCAATCTGATATGGCATTCATCTAAAAAAAGGGAATGACTGTGAAAAGTGAATGATATTGGAAAAGTGAAATAAATCATATATGAGGGATAGGCTCGCACATATAAAGACAAAAGACCTGATGAGATAAGTCTACACTGTCGAAATTCTAAAAGTTGAAAATTTGGATCAAACCTTAAATGAGATAGCAGCTTCAATTCTAAAAGTTGAGAATTCGGACTCAATCTTGAATTGAAAAGCTGAAATAGTACAAAAACATATAGCCATTATATGACTTGTATAAAGGTATTGAACAGTGAACAAGACAGAAAGTGATGTTATGCATTTCTGATAATCAGTATGATATTTATATTTTTTTCAAATTAATTGTCAAAATGTTATTATTATTTCTTATACATTGCTTGCGTATTCCATTGAGACCTAACTCATTAGCAGTTGTACTACTATAGGTAAGGGGAAGGAGCCAGTGGAGTAATAATGATGTAGAACAAACATGTGAAGATGAGTTGCTTAAAAAATTTGCACGCTTAATATTTTGAGAACAATATTAAATAAAACTTATGCCGATTTAAACGCTAAGATAAAACAATAAGGCGATAAAACAAGCTTAGGCTAAATCACATGCATAGGAGTTAAGGTCGTAAAACAATCAATTAATCTAACATTGCGTACGTGGTTGGTTTTCAACGATAATCCCTAAACTAACAATGAGATTAGTCACTAAGAGATGTCCCTCACTCAACTCTCTAATATACTATACTTTAGAGGAGAGAATTAACATAGTCCTAGTGAATCAAATTAAAACCATAATCAAGGATGCAACTATGAAAATAGAGAGTCGGTGTCGAGTTTACCCAAAGATAAGAGAGATAAGCACTCTGGCAAGGTCGTTTGAATGCTGGGAAAGAAGTGGGCAGCAGTCAAGAGCCTTCTCGCACCAAGGAATGGCTGGGAAGAGGTGCAAAACTTCAGGACAACAGCAGTTTTGACCTTGGATAGGCCTTGGACAGCACCCCGTAATGCTTAGAAACGTCTTGGCATGCCCCTTGGGCTGCTGGGAGCTGTGGACAGCAAACTGTGGTCTTCCTTGCTGCTGGACAGCAAGACACGCTTGATGGATTCGGAGAGCAGCAAGCAGGAATTAAAGAAATGATTTAATTAGGAGGAAGATTTGAAGTTGACATTCAAAATAATCCCAAATATGATTGGTAGGGACGGCTGTTAAGGGCATTAATGGGGGAATTTAATTAGGAGTTAGTACTAGATTGGAGGAAAAATAGGGAGAGAGAGAGAGAGAGAGAGAGAGGGCCAGCCATAGGAAGAGGGAGGAGTTATGCCTAGGTGCAATGTATGTGGACCAAATGCATTAATTGGATATTGAAATTAAATCTGAAATTTAATTTTAGATTTAATGTAATTAGGAAGGTTTCTTAATTAAAGATTATCAAAGAGGAAAGTATTTGAAATTCTAATATAGAATTGATTTCAAATAAAGACAATTTCCAAATTGACATGAGTTATTTTAGGAAAGTAATTAAGGGAAATTTGAATTTTGAATTTCAAAATCCAAGGGAGGTTTAGAGGGAAGTGGAGTTTGGGATGAGATCAATCATTCCAACCCAATTTAAAATTAAATTGGGATTAGATTCAAGACTTGCCTAATATGGCTTTGTAATTTATGAAACTATTTGAATTTCAAAAGTTGAATTCCAAATTGTTAAGATTAAATTCCCAAATCACTTAGACTATTTTAGGCAAGTATTAATGATGAGTTAATTCATCATTCAAGGAGAGAGAAAGCATGTGGCCGGTGGTGGAGCTTTGGGAGGGTGGTGGTTTGGTATGGAATTGGGGGTGGAGTTAAGATGGGGAAGTTGGGCCGGGTGGGGGGGAAGAAACGGCTAAGGGAGGCCGGCGGGTCTTGAGGTGGTGGTCGGGTAGGGGAAAATGAGGGGCGGTGGAAACAGGGGCAAGCCAGTGGGGAAGAAGGGAGAGGTCGGAGGAGATGCGAGGAACAAAAAGTAGAGCCGCAAACCTTGGACCCTTCCAAAGGTTGACGGGTATTGTGATTGCCCACACCTTGGGTCTTCCTTCTTCTCTCAAATACTCAATATTGAGGGAGACAAAGACAACTCATAATTTTATTAATCAATCATCATCCCAAAATACAAGAGAACTAGCCTATAAATAGGCCTCATGAAAAGAAAAGAAATTATGACTAAACTGCCCTTCGGGCTACAACACCACATGACCACCCCTAGGGGTAAAATGGGAAAAACAGAAATATAAAATAAACTAATACATAAAACACATAAAAAAAACTCCAGATCGTAGCCGCTGATCTCTAATGTCCTCATCAAATAATCAGGACAGTTGACTACTCTTTTGTGTATATACACTTTTTGGGTGTATAAGGAGATATGAGTAGGAGCTGTACAGACTTTTGAGTATGTAAATAAATTTTAAAAAGTTAGTAAAGTATGTATTTCAATTGAGGTTGTATTTTATCTTAAATGTGTTACATATGCTTAATGTTGTTATATATAAAATTTGATATGTTAGAATAGTCTAAATAGGCTACTCTTACTCACCTACTTCAGATATAAATAGTTCATAATGAAAGTTAGTAAGAAGGAGGTCTATTCAGATTCTCCTTCTTTGATACCCTCTAAATTGACTATAAGAGGGGTCAAATTTAGGGATCAACAGAGCTCGATTTAATTGATCGGGTTCAATTGAACACGATTGGGTCCGATTTAACTCAATTTGAGTTGAATCAACACAAAAAATACATCAGCAAAGCTTTGTTTTGTTAACAAATAGTAAATCAGCATAATGTCATGTTATAAAGATTGTTAAGGTTGTATTGGACCGTGACATTTTCAAGAGTAATGTACAACAATGACCACAGAGCCCTTAAATTTATTACCATGAAGCTCTACCAAATATATCGAGCACAAGGAATCACTTAAATATGATAACAATCATCTAAAGTTCAACAGTGCATCCAATGGACATGTTTTGTATCGCAAAACATGCTCTGACATGAAACTAAACATTAAGAAATCCTGCAAACAAATTTATTCACACAACCATTATACATGTAAATATGAATCATTCAAGAAGATTTTCTTTTAACTACTAGGGTAAACATGCAAATATCTAAGTTAAACACTGAAATAAGAAAGCTTGTGTCAGACAACTTTTTCTGTCTTCATTTCAAGCCAAATCCATAGTGGTAAAATTAATATACTGATTATATTGGTGAAAAAACTTTTTAGGTCAAATTTAAATATTCTCTTCTCACTTTAAATCCTTTCAAACTATCAATATATGTCCTTGTATCAGACAACAAAAGGTCAACAACCCTACCAAAAATACTAGAATTGGACCTCTATCAACTATGTAAACCTTTAAATTAATGTCTACTTATGAAATAAATACCACAAATATATATTACAGAATTTACAATAAAAGAAAAAAACTGATCAGTGAAAAAAAAAAATCATCTTATAAATTTTCTTAAAAGAAATATGGAAAGAGTGGCAAAAAAAAGCGTTAAAATAATTTTTAATCAGTATAATCCATATTCAAATAATTTACTAAAAAGGTCTAAAATGACAGGTAGCAATACACACCATAGGAACTCAAAAGAGGCGAGAGACCTCAAACTTAAAATGAAAGTAAATAGTGCTCACCCCTAACTTAAGATAACGCATTCCATTTATTATACTTAGTGTCTCGCTTCTTGCAACACTGGTGTCGATTCGTCGAGTATTCAATTCCATGAAAAATCGTTCTGTCACAGAACTAAACCTATAAAACCCAAAGGAAGGCTTCAGTATTTTAACAGAGGATTCAAAATACATAAAACGGTTAAATTTATACATTAAAACAAGAGTGTTAAATCTCTTATCAGTGGAGAACGTCTAGAAACCATATATTATAGCTTAACTTTGCATGCTAAGATATTAGATTTTTAAAGAAACAAGAAAACATTAATGAATTCTTCTGAAATGTTTGCATGCAAAACATAAGATCGGCATGAACTATGATTCATGACTTTGCAAAATGATTTCTTAAGCAAACATATCTTGGAAACCAAAGGCTTGCACTGTGAGAAACTCCACATACTGCCCATAATTTTCTCAAGTTAGGGCCATAACAGAACCTAAACATCATGTTTCCTAAGTCTGAGGCAATTAATATGCCTTTTGATCTCAATGGTAAAAAAGTATACAACCGTACATTTGCATTTTTCACATTCTAAATACTGAAGACATACAGAAGTCAAATTAAAATGTAAGCCAATAATACAATTGAATACTTGAACAACACACAAACTAACAAAAGAAAGCATTAAAAATAAAAAATCATAGCACCCGAAGAGCAAGCAAATGTGCCTCTGCATTACTACGTGTTAATGCATCCCAATCTCATGGTTTCTTAAGACTTTCATATTAAGAACCACAACTTTACCAACAGAAATTCTCTAGCTAATTGTGACTTCACGTGAGAAAATTGGTTAATCAAAGATCTTTCTCTAAAAGATTGCCACTGTAGAATTTAAAATGATAATTTGTGATGTTGAGAATAGTAGTAAATCAGGGAAATAGGCTAGATGCAAGGGACATAAAAAAACACCATAATACAAAACTGGAAAGACGTACACCAGACAAGTTAGCACCTTTTCGTGCATTATCTTAAGAAAGTAGGTGCATTGTAATTGATTGGTATTAGTTAAAGTTAAAGCGCCAGGCAACATTGTGTACAACATCATCCAGAGGGTGAAGTAGAATCCATACAATACAAAGTTCACCAATCAATAATGCAACAGTGCAAGTTTATGAAGCTAGAGAAAATTCTACATCCTAAAAGATTTAATGAAAAATTAACATCATTATACTGAAATAGAGTCACTTTAGGCGCACCAAATGGGTTATCTCCAATGCAATCTAGAGTCCAGTTATGAACCAGGAGTAAGCCTGCATACAAAAACCACTATCATAACCTGAAGTGGCTCGAGCCTCCTGCACTGGGTATGCTCCTAAATGTCAATCAGTTTGTATATAGATATACCAATAAAGCATTGATACAAACCACACAACCACATAAGAATACCTTAGCAATTTATACTACTAGAAACTATTATTATTCAGCATATAATACACCATAGGCATACAGGTTCTGAGAGGATCCACTGCGAGAGTACTCATGGTGGCTATAGATATGCAATGGAAGATGGTACACTTGATTTCAAAGTAATATATTATCTTGCAATGGTGAATACATGCTTGAACAAACTAAAAGATCACTTGGTTACCTACAGAAGTGGAGTCATCAAATTACAAATAAAGCCAATAGTGATACATTCTTTCCTATAATCCTTATTTTTGCTACTAAAGTAAAGTGTCATAGAATCTACAAACTAGCCTTAATCTAAATTCCTCTCCTTTGATTGAGAGTGGTAATAAACCATAAGGCTTACACCTAAAGAATTGGGTGGGGATTTTCAAAGCTTTTAGGGTTGTAATTTAGTCATTTATATTAAGTTGAGCATGACAAATGAGAATGTTGAGATTAATGTATGTCAATACAATGAAGAAAAAATTAAGAAATGTTTATATTTAAGGAATGGATGGAACTGCATTTATTTATGATAAAGTGAGAAAAAATAAATATAAGTTGTTGTGTAACAAAGGATGGAAAATGCACCCGTTAGATACGTACATAAAATTAGCATCATAGGATTCAAAGAAAAAGAATAAAAGGTTACATGATTCAAAATTATTCAAAAAGATTTACGAAGAATATGTTTCGCGCCTTAAACAATACTCGACGGGAATGAAAAGTGAGGATTCATAACACCAACCCCAAATAGTTAGAATAAGGCTAATGAGATTGATGATCAAATTGTTGAAAACTCCCATCCCAAATTGTTTGGACAAGGCTATGAAGATGATGATATCAAACACTACTGCAAAAAACATATAATCAACTATTTCAACATCAAAATCTGACATTAGATTTTTTAAAGCACAAATTAAATAAGCATAAAGTTGTGAGTCTACAATTTAAATGTGATTCAATCACAATTTACCTTTTTCTCATACAAGAATTGTCAATTATTTTGAGCCCTAAGACAAAAAAGAAATAATAATAAACAAGAAAATTGTTCAAACATACCTGATTTTTGATAAAGCACCTAAAAGCTGTGCAACGAGGTCCAAGAGAAGCCCTCTCAAGTCAACTAATGAAGGATACTCAACCTGACTGACAACCCTGCAAGAACAAAATCACCCGGTGAATCTCTACCCAGATAAGTGAAATAGGGCTTGCAAAGTGCACTACTAGTAAATCAAGAACGTGACAGAAACATGATAGCAGCCATGTAAGATGTAACCTGCATGCAAGGTGAACGTGCATGCAATGGCATTGCAAGCAAGCCAGGAAGATGCAGGCGCGAACTTCATTTTTCACAGCTTAGCTAAACGAAAGAGAAGGATAGAGATGGGTTAAATCCTTTATCTATGATGAACCGACACTTCTCCTCAAAGAAGCATGCAATGTCCAACATGTATCAGACACGACACACGTCCAACATGCAATCGACAGATATCTGACACGCTGAAGAGGTGTCCGATTAAAAAAATAGTTAAAAAAATTGGACACACATGTTTAAAATATTTTAAGAACTTTTTTAATATAATTTATTACATCTCAAATTTTTCTTTAGTAAAAAAAAATAAAAACAAATCTCTTATTTCCTCTCCAAAACCTCAAATCAATTACCCATATTCAATACCTTATTCCCTGAATATTTTCATTTTCATTTCTCGCAGTTAAGATTTCACAACAACTCAAAGTCATCTCAATATCGATGTCCAATGCCGTTAAGTCATCTCAATATTGATGTCCAATGCCGTTATAACATCAGTATTTTAAAACTATCTCAAAATAAAATTTTGATGTTCTGTTGACATTGACGCACCACAATCACACCCCTGTGCCATATCGGCATCTCATCTTTGTTCGATATCGTCTTGATATCTACTAGACTGCTACCGATGTCATCACGAGATTGATAACCGACGCCGTCTTAGCATCAATGTTAGATGCCCATTACACAACAACGATGTCATATTATCAAGAGCATTGTTGTCTCCCCTCTTAATGCAAAACATAACATGATATCAAAGTCCAACTCTTGACATCCTAATATTAATTTTTTTAAGCACAAATAATAGTTAAATTACTTATAATTTCTCAATTATTCTTAATATTTTGCTTATTCAATTTTTATATATTATACATAATATTTAATATATAAAATTATAATACCATGTTCAACTCATGTCTATTTTATATTTTTAATAATTAGCATGTCATGTGCCTCATGTCCATGTTTATGTATCATGGTCCTCTATCCATCAAAGCCATTTTATGCTTGTTTTTTCTTTAGTTTAGAAGGATATAATATTACTCATATAACAATTGGGTATATGAGATAGTTGAAATATACGATAACTTGATCTCAAATATAACTTAATTAAGTTCGTGATCTAACCCAATTAAATCAAGCCTCAACCCTGGGACTCAAAATAACTCAAGTAGTGCCTAGTAGTGCCCAATCAAAAGTACTCAAATTAACTAAATTTAACCCAATCAAAAGTACTCAAATAAACTAAATTTAATAACTTCAAACTTTATGGTAAATAATAGCAAGATTTAAAAACTTAACGGATCAAACAAGAAATAAAAATAAAGCATCATTTAAAACTTGCTGTAACGCTCAATCAATCATACTTTGGACTTCCATTAAAAATATAAATAAGTGAACAACCTATCTAACAGTCCAAAAATGAGAGCATTGGCCACCCATTTACTAGCCCAATGTGAAAAGAATCACAATCCAAGTCGGGAGAGATGACATCGATTCAAAATTGACATCAAATCACAAACTAACATGTAATAAAATTCCGAAATATTTAATCCTTTTCATGTAACAAAAACAAATAAAACTAAACATTCAGATGGATGATTCATTATTTGGATTGAAATTTCACAAGCCGTTCAAGCTTGTTAAAGTAGTCCCCTTTCTCCCTTAGAGAACTTCCTTGCTGTCCTGAGGAGTTTCCAAGGTCAAAAACTGCTGTCCGCTGATTTCTGTAGGGTTCCCAACATCGTATCTTTCATCCGAAAGACTCCAACTGCTGTCCACTTCTTCCCCAACACCAAAGTGACTACGCCGGAGCTCCGTATTTGTCTCTCTCTTTGGAATATTAAGCGTGCAAATTTCCTTTAAGCAACTCATCCATGTAATTATGTTTCACATCACAATCATACTTTGGACTTCCATTAAAAATATAAATAAGTGAACAACCTATCTAACAGTCCAAAAATGAGAGCATTGGCCACCCATTTACTAGCCCAATGTGAAAAGAATCACAATCCAAGTCGGGAGAGATGACATCGATTCAAAATTGACATCAAATCACAAACTAACATGTAATAAAATTCCGAAATATTTAATCCTTTTCATGTAACAAAAACAAATAAAACTAAACATTCAGATGGATGATTCATTATTTGGATTGAAATTTCACAAGCCGTTCAAGCTTGTTAAAGTAGTCCCCTTTCTCCCTTAGAGAACTTTGACAATCATAAACATAAAATTGTCTATGTATGATTGAAAATTTGTATTTATATAAGAATTAGGATTAATTTTAAATAGGAAAAATGAGCAAAATGATTTAGTTCTTGAAAAGAAAGGAGGATCTTTAGGAATGACCTTTCTTTATTAGATTTAAACAAGAATTTGACTTTTAATATGACACAATGGAGAAAAAGGATTCATGTAGCCGACCCCACGTAGTGGGATAAAGGCTTGATGTTGTTGTTGTTGTTGTAGGGAAAATGAGAAAAATGGTCTGTTAACTCTTTATGAATGACCAAAATGGTCCCCAACTATAGTAAAAGACCATTTTGATCCCACAAGTCTTTAAAAATGAATCAAAATAGTTACTCTTTAAGAAGTTGAGGGATCAAAATGATCATTGAATATAGTTGAAGACTAATATGATCTTTCATAAAGAGTTAAGGGATCATTTTAGTCCTCTTCTCATTTTAAATATAACTAAAAAAATGTCAATGATAAAGACATAAAATAATGCTTTGTGGCATGTGTTCACGACACTAAAATGCATAAAATTGGAGAGGTTTAAAATAAAGTTAATTCTAATAAAGTCTCATAAAATTGGAGAGGTTTAAAATAAAGTTAATTATAATAAACTAATTAAATCCCATTGAGTTGAGTTTATGATGCTTTACACATGATAATATAAGCAATAGTCAGCCCCAAGTTAACCTGAAATGGTATCATATAAAATGTGACCAATCAATAAATGCATAAACTTCCTAAAAAAAGAAACACTTTGGATACATAACAATTTTGTAAATGTCAATAAATAGATGCAAATATTTGCGTTCATTTCAAGTACATTGATAAACATGAAATAAAAAGAATGTCAATACATTTAGAATTTTCAAGAAATTTTAAAACTATATCAAAGGTTTCAATAGACCCCTGAGTAACCTCTTTAAAACCGTGAGCTGGAGGAATGAATAATTATGAGGCTTTCACCCATGAGAAGTTTCAACTACAAATTTAAATAAATCATGACACAATATTAAGGATAATTTGATCTAAAAAACAATCTATCTCCCAAAAAAAATTCTAATCTTTATTTTTCTTCCATACGCATCAAGAATGTTGCAAGGTTCTTGGGTTGGCTTTTCATGCACGATCAATAAATATATAAAACATAATATATACTTTACATGTTATTTAATCAATTGAAGTGGTAATGATATTACAACTTATTGTCCAATATTATTATAAAATAAATTGATATTAATACATAATATAGTTAAATATCTTCGATCTATTATACATCAATAAAAGATAAATATGAAGTTATAACGTCTAGGGTTAAGGCCTTTAAAATGAAAAATTTTCCTCGGAAGTAAAAAGCTATAAGAAAATATCATTAAAATTATAATTAGAGTAGCTATGATATATTGATCTAGGTGTTGGCCAATAACTAAGTTATTCGAAGATAAGTGTGGAAAAAATAAGTATGTTAAGATGGATATCAGTAAAATTAGTAGTAATAGATTAAGAAATTAGCATATTAGAGAAACAATGGAAGAACAATCTATAGAAGATAAGATGTTAGAAATAGATTTAGGAGGTTTGAACATGTATGCAGAAAAAGATGCACAGTGAACCGAGTAACAAGACAAAATGAAAGACAAAACTAATGAAAACTACCAAGCTAAATGGACAAATGATGTGCTTTGAAAAGAATAGGACAAAAGCGAAGTACCTAGATCAATGATTATGTTAAGGAAACCAAGAAATGCATAGTTAACTGCTAGTTTCCATTAAGATATCATACATCAACTACTTCTTCAAGTTTCAATAGATACCCACTTACCAAATTACGGTGTTTGAAATTTTAAGTTCAGTTAAAGGACAAACACCGCTACAAGCTAAATATAAAATTCAATAGCCATAACATCAGGGACATTGTGCTCAATCAAAGACACAATACACAAAGAACAAGAAGCAATTCAAAAAGCATAGCAAAAAATTCTTACTGACCTGTCTGCGTTGATTAGCCAGTCAAATACAAAATTTTCTACCCCCCCCCGCCCGCGGTAAAATTAGTAGCAATAGATTAAGAAATTAGCATATTAGAGAAACAATGGAAGAACAATCTATTGAAGATAAGATGTTAGAAATAGATTTCGAAGGTTTGAACATGCATGCAGAAAAAGATGCACAGTGAACCGAGTAACAAGACAAAACTAATGAAAACTACCAAGCTAAATGTACAAATGATATGCTTTGAAAAGAATAGGATAAAAGTGAAGTTCCTAGATCAATGATTATGTTAAGGAAACCAAGAAATGCATAGTTAACTGCTAGTTTCCATTAAGATATTGATGAGGACATCGACAGACGCTACCGACATGTTTATCGCCGGCGAAACCGCAGATCGACGGCCACGATTCAGCGCCTCTACTTTTGATTTAGATGTCATGATGTATTTTATTATTATCTTGTTTTATTTATTGTCTTTCCATTTTTACCCCTGTGGGGAGTTATTTTGTCATTATAGCCCAGAGGGCAATTTGGTATTTTCTCTTTGTATGAGTTGAGACCTATATATAGTGGTCTCATGTATTGTTTTGAGGTTAATGAATATTATGAGTGAAAATTTGTTTTGAATGTCTTGTCTTCTTCTTCTTCTTGTGGAGAGTTAGAGAGGAGAGCGAAAGCCCAAGGTGAGGGCGAAAAGCAATACCCACCAGTCATTGGAAGAGTCCGTGGCTCGTGGTCTATCCCCAACATTCGATCCCCCTTCCTTCTCCCCCGACCCGCCGGCCTTAGCTTCCTCTTGGCCGCCGGCCACCCCAACACCATCATCCATCCGTGAACCTTTCAACCATCGACCTCACCTCCCATTCCCCTCCAATTCAAATTTTGAAAATTCAAAATTTGAATTCCAAAATCTTTCCAATTTTGGAATTTCCAAATTATGAAAGTTTTAAATCCGTTTTAATGACGAAATTCAAATTCAAACGGATTTTGTTTTAATCCTTCTTAAACCTCATGCACCCAATTTGGAAACCATTTACTTGCTCCCACAACAATTTCCCTAGAAGTCGCCGGCCACATCTTTGGTGGAGCCCCATTAATGCCCCATTAAGGCATTGATTCCACTTGAATTAGAAATTGACTCCACATAATTTTCCCTCCTAAATTACTTAAAACTGAAATCAACTTTCAGTTTTAAGTTTTAAACCTCCTCCCTCCCTCTATAGATCGCCGGCCCCTTTCATTGGTTTCCCCTCATTAACCCCCACTTAATGTCTTAATTGCTTGATTTGAAATTTCAAATTCAAGTCAATTTTCCCTCCAAACTTAATCAAAACTGAAATTACTTCAGATTTTGATTAATTCCCTAATACAAGCCATCTAAACCTAAATTGTTTTTCAAGCCTTGTTCCTCCCTACACCCGCCGGCCACCCTTCTCCCTTGAAATCCCGCCGTCCCCCACCCTCTCTCTTCCCGTCTCTTGAATCAAGAGTCCAAGAGGGAACGAAGGCGACGTCTTCCATCTCCGGTTCAATGACGCATGGCGGATCCGGAGCTTGAGTGGGGTCTTGTATTCAACGCCGACGGAAGCATCAACATCCTAAGATCTCCGTGCTTTGA